GGATGATTTAGAACAGATCCTGTCGGCTCTATATGGCTACTTTTCAACTATTTGAAAAGTGCCATCATACCTCCCCTCAATCTTCTTTTCTCAAGGCTAAACATGCCTGTTTTTTTTTTCAGTCTTTCCTCATAGGGTTTGGTTTGCAGTCCCCTGATAATCCTTGTTGCCCTTCCATGACGGAAAACAGCTAAGTGAATGTTTTTGTGTGTTGCTGCTACATCAGCTTTTGTATATAACTTTTAAAGCTTGGGTGGGCAACTGTCATCCTCCATATGTTTTTTAACTGTAGCTCTCATAATCCTTCCCTACTATATTAGCTAGGCCAGAGGGCAGTTGAAAGACAAAAACTTTGGGAGGTCACAGTTACCAACTCTTTGCGTTAACTCATGGATTGCTTATTATATCTTCTTTTGCATTTCTTTATTTCACTTCACCTAAAGACATTTGTCTTCTGGCTAGATATAAGGTTGTTTCCCCAAACACAGTTGTGTTACAGGAGGCCAGGCCATGCCCATACAAGCATTAACAATGATGTTCTACATTAGTAGTAAAGTTTTCCATCACTTTTCACTCCCCTCCATCATTTCTGAGGTAAACTTTGGAATAGAGCACAGAAGTTCAGGCAGCCTAGCTGTAGGTAATTTAGACTTGTCAGGTCAAACATAGCACAAAATCAGGAAGTATAGGCAGCAGTCAGAGTATTACATTTTATTTTTCAGAGTTTCCTCCCTGTTCTGGACACCGCTATGCAATTTTTGAACTTCAGTACTTCTTACAGACTAAATTAAAGTAGAATGTTTAGTGCATTGGACCTTTTGGTTTATTTATGGACTGCCTTACCAGAGCTTCACTCTTCCTTCTTTGATAGATAATATAATTCCAAGTTTCATTGCAGATATCAGATTGATTGGCACAGAAGTTTTCTCTGTGTAGGTTGCAGAATAGATTTTGGGCCTGTTGCATGGTTTTGGGTTTTGTTTATTCCCTAATTGGACGGAAAAATGTGGAGACATCTTTCTAGTCTCACCCCCTCCTTTGGAAAAGGACAAATACTCTGTCTGAATGCTTCAGTGGTTAAATGAAGCCACCCACCCAAAAAGGTAGTGCTTATAGTTTATGGCTTTGTTCTTTTATATATCTATAGTGTGAAATTTCTTTGGAGGACTCAAAATGAAGGACAAAGGAAAGGTGGCCAGCAAAATAGGCAAGAGGAAGGAAGCAGTGATCTCAAGGAAGTACTCCTCTAATGGTGTGACTACAGTGAAGGAGTGAATTGGAATGATCTGATTTGCAGCCTGTATTACATCTGAAATCACAATCAGTGCTCACACAAGGATTGTGGAGTGAATCAGGAATTCACAGTTCATTCTTATTTGTGATGCACTTTGTTTGTGATGCATTCCAGCCAACAGCCACCCCTTCCTTCCTCCCTTCCTCCCTCCAGTCCTGACTCTGCTGATCCTTTAATAAGTAAAGGTAAAGGTTCCCCTTGACAATTTGTCCAGTAGTGTCCGACTCTAGGGGGCGGTGCTCATCTCCATTTCCAACCCATAGAGCTAGTTTTTGTCCGAAGACAATCTTCCATGGTCACGTGGCCAGCACGACTAGACACGGAACACCGTTATCTTCCCCCCATGGTGGTACCTATTTATCTACTTGCATTTGCATGCTTTTAAACTGCTAGGTTGGCGGGAGCTGGGACTAGCAACGGGAACTCACTCCATCGTGTGGATTCGATCTTATGCCTGCAGGTCTTCTGACCTTGCCGCACAGAGGCTTCTGCGGTTTAACCCGCAGCGCCACCACGTCCCGCAGCGCCACCATGTTGATTCTTTAATAGTTTGCAATAAAGTTGCTACTTCATTTAAAGCTACTATTTTTCTCAAAACTGTCTCTAAAGAAAAATAAAATGGAAAGTTTGTTAACGTTCTAATAGTATTAAAAGTCTGAATAGTAATTTTGCAAAATACATTCTAATTCACACTCCAGAATGGTTCCATAACAGGGATCATCATCCCCTTTGTTACTTTCTCCCTTTGCTTTTAAGTAAAGCATGCAAAAATTGCCTCATCTCTTGTCACTTCTTGTCACTTATAATTTAAAAGTAGTTTAAAACCATATGTCAACACAGCTGATTCTTGTTCTCAGTAGATGATGTTGTTTGGATTCACTTGCTCTCCAGTTTATACAGGTCTATTTATTCTATAACTTGATATTTCCATTCTTTAAAGAAAACATAACAAAAGCATTATGGACTCTACTGCTCACCTTGGACTGTCACTGTGTGTTGTCCCCTTGTTCGTAGCATTGGTCTTTGGACAGAACTGACTTTGCTAATGTGATTGGACTAACCTGAAATAGGACACCATTACAGTTGGCTTTCTAAAATAATGCTTGTCCTCACTGTTACTAAAAATTAACTAGTTACTTTTAGTTGCTTTAAAAACCTGAATGCCAACAGCTACAAGTCTGTGAAACAAAGCACACTCTCTTCATCACCTCAGCATGCATAAAAATGCATGAGGCACCATCTTCATGAACAGCATGAACCAGAACCTGAGGCTACATACATGCAACCTCTGAGTACTAAAAACCTAGAAGAACATGGGAAGGGTTGTCATAAATTGGAATTGACTCAGCAGCATATCATCATTATACTTGTTCCTCAGCATTGTTGGTGCATGGGAGTGAACCATAGAGTAAAGCTTAAAAATTAGGAGTCAATTTCTACAAAAAAAAATTGGGCCAGGTGATGTGTTTGTAAAATGACTGATTTTTGGATTTTAGTATACAAATTAGCAGCTATTGATAATTATTTAAAATTGTTAACTGAAGAATTTGAAACACTCGAGCTGCTGAAATTAGCATAGGGAGAGGATGACCTGTTCTTGTTTCTGTATTCTTTAATTTATTGTATAATAAACATTATAATACACAGAGGAATTATACCAGAAAGATTTGGATGTCCCGGACAACCCAGAGAGTGTGGTTGCTGACCTTGAGCCAGACATTCTGGAGAGTGAAGTCGAGTAGGCCTTAGAAAGCATGGCTAACAACAAGGCCAGTGGAGGTGATGGTATTCCAGTTGAACTATTTAAAATCTTAAAATATGACACTGTTAAGGTGCTACACTCAGTATGCCAGCAAGTATGGAAAACACAGCAGTGGCCAGAGGATTAGAAAAGATCAGTCTACATCCCAATCCCAAAGAAGGGCAGTGCCAAACAATTCTCCAGCTACCGTACAATTGCACTCATTACACACGCCAGCAAAGTTATACTGAAAATCCTACAAGGTAGGCTTCAGCAGTATGTGGACCGAGAACTCCCAGAAGTACAAGCTGGATTTCGAAGGGGCAGAGGAACCAGAGACCAAATTGCTAACATGCACTGGATTATGGAGAAGGCCAGAGAGTTCCAGAAAAAAAAACTATTTCTACTTCATTGACTACGCAAAAGCCTTTGGCTGTGTGGACCAAAGCAAACTATGGGATGTCCTTAAAGAAATGGGAGTGCCTGACCACCTTATCTATTTCCTGAGAAATCTATATGTGGGACAGGAAGCAACAATTAGAACTGGATATGGAACAACTGATTGGTTCAAAATCGAGAAAGGAGTATGACAAGGCTGTATATTGTCCCCCTGCTTATTTAACTGGAGGAATCCCAAGCAGCAACTAAGACTGCGGGAAGAAATATCAACAACCTCAGATATGCAAATGATACCACCCTGATGGCAGAAAGTGAGGAGGACTTAAAGTACCTCTTAATGAGGGTGAAAGAGGAGAAGGCAAAAATGATCTGAAGCTCAACATTAAAAAAAAAACTGAGATCATGGCCACCGACCCCATCACCTTCTGGCAAATAGAATGGGAAGATATGGAGGCAGTGACAGATTTTACTTTCTTGGGCTCCATGATCACTGCAGATGGTGACAGCAGCCACGAAATTAAAAGACGACTGGGTATTGGGAGGAAAGCGATGACAAACCTAGACAGCATCTTAAAAAGCAGAGACATCACCTTGCTGACTGAATTGTGGTGCTACTGTAAAGGAGACTCTTGAGAGTCCCCTGGACTGCAAGGAGATCAAACCTATCCATTCAGAAGGAAATGAACCCTGAATGCTCACTGGAAGGACAGCTCCTGAAGCCGAGGCTCCAATACTTTGGCCATCTCATGAGAAGAGAAGACTCCCTGGAAAAGAGCCTGATGTTAGGAAAGTGTGAAGGCAAGAGGAGAAGGGGACAACAGAGGACGAGATGGTTGAACAGTGTCACGGAAGCTACCAACATGAATTTCTCCCAACTCCGGGAGGCAATAGAAGACAGGGGGCCTGGTGTGCTCTGGTCCATGGGGTCACAAAGAGTTGGACACGACTAAACGACTAAACAATAACAACAAAGCAACTCTGTTGATATTAAATTACTCCAGATGGATTATTTATAACCACCTTCAAAACATGAACAGGATTAAAATAATACCATGAATGTGGTATTTGTGAACTTAAGGCATTTTGTCATCACATATACTTTGCATTATCTAGAAATTAACTGGAGTGAGAAATCGGAAATAATTGTGTCAGCAAACTGTTAGGCTGCTACAGGCCATTGAAGACTTTTTGTATTGATTTATTTTGCAGTGCTTGTAAACAGCATAATATATTGTCAAGTCAGGAGCTGGATTTTATTGTTATGGCTGTCTTTAGTGCTGCATTTTTAAACAGGACACATGTGCATTGCTAGTTTCAAAATATTTTCCAGATATAAAACTGTTTCTTATAGAAGTTGACCACTTCAAAGGACTAATAAAACAGATCCATAAAGAAGCAATCTTTTCAAAAAGAAACATCAGGCACTTTTGGAACAGAAAATAGTTACATCTATGACCATGCATCTAGATTTATAAATGGTCCTGTCTTGATGCCAAACTCCACCCACCAAAAAAGATGTATTTTAAGTCACAGATATTTTAGTGAAAATTCTGGTCATAGTTTCGGTTTCATTCCATTTATATGGGGGCAAAGGGCGGCATAAGTACAGTCTATGACAATCTCATATCAGTCTGCAACATGGTGGAGGTGTCTGTAGCCAAGGTTGCCAAGAAGTGTGCCACTGGCCCTCTTCTTCCTCACTTCTCTGTCAACCCTTTTGGTGTCATGTTTTAAATCAAAGATATTTTTGGCCTGTGGATGGGAGATGTCTTGTTTTATTATAGCTGAATAACAGGTACAAATGCTTTAAACTAACATCAATCTAAGAGGTCAAATTACACATTATAAAAACCCCACAAGACTATCCTCAAAACTGTACTCTAAAACCTTCTCAGTTTATGACATGACTTCATTCTGGATGCCCTGTTTTCCACCCTCACCCCAACTCCAAACCTCAAGCATTTGCCACTGCTGATAATACCAAAGAAATGCATAGGCAAGGTAAGGAATATTCTCCACCTATTTATTTCAAGGGGTCTTTTATGGAGGTGGTATTTACCTTACTAGGTACTTTTTGGAGTAATGAGTGTGTAAATAAGCTACATTTTAAAAGTAACAGAAACAATAGGACCAAAGGTCATTTCAATGCACTGTAGGTCAATGGAGACTTGACTTACAGACTTTTTGACTTGAGAACCGCCTTCCAATACGGATTAAGTTCTCAAGTCAAGACCCCACTGTACATTTAAAAAGTACTGTAACAGAAACAATAGGACCAAAGATCCTTTGGTAGTGTAACAAGTAACTTTTTCTTATTACTTTCAAATTGGTATTATTTTCTAAGGGCCTAATCAAAGCCTGCCCAGTGAGTGCCCTTTTAGCAGTGTGACATTCCTTTGCTTTTAGCTTGTTACTAGTCCATATGGGTGGAAATGGGTACTCAGGCCTTAAAGTTAGACATAGAGTAAGAAGAAAATTCCTCAAATGATGGTACCAGCAATCCATCTTGCTAGACTACAGAGGGTGAGATGTCATTCTGATTTCGTTAACACACATTCGTACAACTTTTGTGTTTAAGGGACAATTTATCTCAGGACTCAACCTGTTGATATGCAATGGAAGGATTTCCAAGGAAGCAGTATTTTAGTATCCCTCAAATTTCTTCCTGCTGTTTGCCACCTATGATATTTTCAGGCACATAACCATTAAAACAGGAACAGAACATACTTCAGATAGGACATGGTAGAGTGTTTATACCACATTCCTTAATGGCATGTCATTTTTAAAAGATAAAACTCACTATAACTTTTCCCCTTTGCATTATATTTTACAACTCTTGCAGGAAGGCTATTAAACTATGAGAGCTGTTGCATAGCAGGAGGAATACACAGCAAGACAATAATCAAAGAATTAAACAGTGATGCTAATACAGTACATAAAGGGGGCAAAGGAGAAGCAAAATAAAGTGAATTTTAAAAAGTCTTGCTTTTTGGCACTTAAGAGTTTAATTCTACTTCTTCTTTTCTGAGTACAATATAATAGAATGACTATGTGAAGGTGAGTTTTAATTCAGACAGACAGACAAACAGTGCTGCAATTTATTTCTGTGGTCCTGTCTATTGTCAACCCAAATGGTACATAGAAAAGTCTGCTGGTTCATTTTGACTCATGTCATTTGTACCAATTAATCCTGCATTCCCAACAAAACAGCAGCCCCCAGCCAGCTTAGGTGAGGCCACATCACCATGGAATAACGGGAATCACAAGCCGAGTCAGAAAAAAGGTAGCCATTTGGTAGTCTTACAGCAGTACAATATTTTGGCTTTTTTTCCCCCCTCCTCCCCTCCCTCCCCCCTTTTAATTTGGCCAGCAAGCTGAGGCAGACTAGTACGGCTACCTTTTTGGAAATCAGAAAAAAGTGTCCATGGGAATTCTTAAGGAGGAAGCCAAACCTGCATTGTGGTATACAGTATTAGCATTATTTGTGTGCTTCTGGTGCAACACTACAATGCACTGTATCTTTTTCTGTACATTGCAGCAATAAATACTGTATGTTTAGGGTTTGAGTAGCAAGTGCCTCCCCCTGTCCCTCCCCTGAAGGAAAGCAGAAGAGAAACAGCAAATGGAGGCACAGAGAACGAAGCATCTCTGCAAGCCATTTCCCAGCATTCACAGCAACACCACTGGAAGACACCTCTCGTGGACGAGGCACAGCATGCACCAAAATCTTCGCAGCAGGCAAGCATCTAAGCCAATCTAAGGAGAGCAACAAGGGGGGGGGGAAGGGCTTTGTTTATCTCATTCTACAATGGAAGTGACTATTATGAAGGCAGCAAGAGTATAGAAATAGCACTGTACTGAGGGTTGCCACACAGAATTGTTCAGCTCTCCCAAAGCAGCAGACAGACTGAAAGCAACTTTCCATGGAACAGATCAACATGCAGAGGAGAAAGAACAGGCCATGAACCTGAGCACTTCAGGCCCTGGAGCTATTATCTGGCTCTCCTATGGTCCCAACCCCACGCCCTCTTCCACATGATTCCTATGATCGTTTGGTGGTTTCCCCATTCTTCAAGGCTGAAATGCAGTAAGAGCTTGAAGCTAAAATATGATAGCATGTTTGGTCCCACTCAGCCCTAAAAACTTTCTGGAACACTGAAAGAGGTCCACTCTTGACCTAAACAGCTTATTTGGAAGAAACATCCATAACTAATATGCAGGTATCCTTAAGACTGATGCCCAGTGTGGTGTAGGCAGGGCATAGAGCAGGGATATTGGCAAGCCTTTGGGTCTGAGTCCCAAGTCCTGAATCCCAAGCTTCAAGTCTGAATCCTTACTAAAAGCAAGCTTTTTCTCTCCCCCCCCCCCAAAAAGAAGGGGTGAGTGGGTTCCGAGTTATTTGTTGAGTCCGAATCATTGGGAAAACAAAACAAAACGTGTCATGTCTGAGTCAGGTCACTGGTGCAACTTAAGTCCGCCCTGAGAGCGAGTCCCATTACAGTGGGGTCTCGACTTACGAACCGCTCTCATAGGAATATATGGACTTGACTTACGAACTTAGATTTGAGTTACGAACTCTTTTTTTCCTTTTTTTTTAAAGCTAAGTCATCTTAGGTTAAAAGGAAAAAAGAAAAAAATATCCCCCTCTAGTGGCAGAAGGTGGAATAGCAGCTTCCCATTAGTTTCTATGGACGAAAAGAGCAGATATGGATTAAATGGTTTTCAATGCATTCCTATGGGAAATGCAGATTCGACTTACGAACTTTTCGACCTGAAAACTGCCTTCCAAAACGGATTAAGTTCGTAAGTCGAGACCCCACTGTACTTGAGCCCCCCTCCCTGGGAAATATAGTAAGACATTAGAATTCAGGAGGCCTGGATTCAAATCCCCACTTTCTCAAAGCAGGGCTCACTGTCATGGCAAAGAGTGAGCCCTGCTTTGAGAAAGTGCAACAGATAATTTCCTCCACCTGAAGAAATTCAGTGAAACTCAGTGAAATTTCAACCATGCCCCACCCTAGGGTCCTGTAGATAAACATTATAAGACCTATTTTGTGCACTGCTGTGGCTGCAACAAGTGGGGACAGGGGCTGTAGTCCACACTAATCCTGATTTTCTCATGCAATATAGCCATTCCAACCGAAGCCACAGAAGGAAAACTCTTACAGGCCTAAAACAGCAGCCTGTATCAATTTTCTTTCATAGAAAGGGACATAACCCTAAACAGCTTCTGGTTCATTCCAACTTCTCGACGACAGCAGTTCTGAAGAAAAGCCAGGACACATTCAAGGGAAGCCAGAAATAAAATTAAATCCAGTTGGCTTGATCAGGAATTGGGACAAGCACATAACTGGCAACTAGCATCCAGGCAGCTGAAATTACTCTTTCCAGCTGAGAAGGATTTAATTACTGAAGATGCAACATATAACACTGCCATTGTGTTGTCACATTGCAGTAAGTTAAGTCTCCC